CCTGGATTTCCAAAGTCCTCAACAGGGGGTGTACGGATAAAAAATGCAATATGCCACTCTACTATACCTTGGAATAGATCAGGCGATGTAGATCTTTCACTCTCTGAATCAGATGAAAAATTTCGCACAGCCCTTTGCAATTGGTTTATCGAGTTAGGCAGAATCTGGTGTCTTCGAAATGTTGACTCGGAGACATTTTCTTCGCAATGCGCACAGTAAAAATAACCAGAACTTGGATCTGGAGCGCCATTCATCTTACTTGACAGCAATTTTATATAAATAGCGACAAGAAAAGCCAGATAATTAACCCACTGAATGTCTTAATAATAAAATCTCGAAGCGTTTTGACACGGAAGGAAATGGTATTATGGTAACCATAGTAACGAGAAAATATTTACGTCAAATGCGTCTGTTTTAGGACTCTGCCTTTAAGAAATAGTGTTCTAATCTTTAATATAGTAATCTTTATATATACCTAAGCTATTTAAAGATCCATATATAAAAGCATTTAATTGCAGGGTTAAAGGTCGGTTTATGAAATATAAGCCTAAGGATAAATGCGATTAAATCAGACAAAATTTAATTCATCTTTAATACACCTATTAAACAAATATTAAAGGCATGCATTTCTTTAAATAGTGTTTAACCCGTCCTTTAAACTGGCTTAAACTTAGCTATACCTATAATAAACTTTAAACCCGTTTAAACACTAGTTAAAGTCAATATCCATATAAATACATTTAATTGCTGGTTTAAAGGTTCAAAGGTCGGTTTACAAAATATAAGCCTACGATTAAATGCGATTAAATCTGATATTTCGTCCTGTGTAGATCAGTACAATTTGCAGTTCCTCAAGATGTCTGATGTACTCAAGCATGTGCTTCTCCTCAACAAAAATACCGACCTCATGCAGCTTCGAATTCTTTCTCCTCACCAGCGCCAGATGAAATGGCACCGTCTTTAAAAAAACATTTTAGATTGGCTCTAGGGGCGAAATTATCAACAGGTTGTTGTTGTCCATCATTCAGCATAGTCGGAGTCTTGAACACGTTCATGTAGTGGCCAGGATTTCCTGGATCAGAGTGATGTTTGTACTAAATATCCCATAAACATAGAACATATCATTCTTACAAATCGTATGCTTTTTTGTTTTTGGAACTGCTACTTTTTGGCCGGTAAATTACTTCACAAACTTTGCGCCAAAAAATTAAAATAAGCTATAGGTGATTTCATGTATCCATTTAGAAGAACAGACTAAAGATATCTTAAAACTGAAATCGGTTTCGAATACAACCATCAGGGACGTAGCAAAGCATCTGACGTTTGGGGGGGAGGATGTCGGAGGATTATACGAGTAATAATTATAATAAAGCTTTTTGTGATTGATTGACACTCACATTCTAAGTTTCGAGAGAAGTCTGAGGGTCCTCCCCCAGAAAATTTTTACATTTTTGAAGCTCCACGACTGAATTTCTGGCGTTTTCTAAAGCAAATTCGCAAACAAAATATTGCAAATAAATTGACTGTATTTTACAAAAATGGTCATCATTTCACAAAAATAATTACTTTATTACGCAAATTTTACCTGAAAATGTCAAAATTTTAACTTGAATTTGCTGGGGCCAAAACTTTGAAAAGTTTAGAACCCCCCTTCAGTATATCGAGAAGTTTCAGAGCCCCCCCTTTAATGCCAGAAAATATTGCGGTGCCCCCCTTAACATTTTCATCCCCCCCCTCGGCATAATAAATGTACTTTCCCTAAAGCCATTTAATTAAAGGCAGATTAGTTTTATAAAGAACACTTTAAACGGTTTTGCGAAGCGTTTGTGGTTGAATTTTACCTTAAATTGAAGCTTATATTACGTATAATATCATAACTAACATACATATGTTGGGAAATTGATAATTTTGTAATTAAAAGTGATATTTTTTGGCGATTTGTAAGAATATTCTTTAAAAATTATCGTGCTACCATGACAACTACTCTAGATACTTCATGTTCGGAAAATACAATGGTTTTGACAACAAGGCGAGGGTTTCTGCGTGCATGTATTTTCTAGTTATTATTGACTGTTGTAGCTATATTTATGCGAAAGTTTGTAGTTCAGCCGTTGTTACGGAACGGCTATATATTGTGTCAAAAATATTTTGACTTTGTTGTTTCTGATGACATTTGTCGACTCTCGACTTTTTGCAGTTGACTCTTGACTTTTACTCTCGACTCTCGACCTATACTCTCGACTTTTAGATTCACTCGTTCTTCACTAATCAATGGCCATGTATTTACATCACTCGCCCACTGTCTAAGTTCTTCTAATTCGTGGATCTGTCTATGAGTAAACTCCGTGAAAATTAGATCTATCAGCTTGTCCTTCAAAATATTTATATAGATATATCTTCACCTTTTGGCGAAGGGGTTCTTTCTCATAAAATATTTATTAAAAAAACATCCCAATAAACCCTCACGAAAAAAAACCAAAACAAGTGTGCCAAGATTTTCCTAACGTCTCATCATTCAGAGCCTAAGATGACAAGCGAGAGAAAGACAAGTGTAAACATTGTCGTCATCAATATGTAGTTCTGCATCATTTCACTAATCATATAAATATTTAATCATTACATCATATCCGTTCACAATTAATAACTTACCAATCTTACCTATGTTATGAAAATTCCGGTTTTATTTGAACCAATTAGAATTGTTTGTTTACCTCCTGCACAGTAGCCTAGCTGCTACGCGTTTGTCTGTGGGCATCGGCGAAAAATAAATTTCTGCTATACAGGCGATCTATGCATAGTCACTCTTGAGACCTCTATGGAAATTAATTCAACATGCCAGTAAATAAATGGAAAGTTTAAACCGTTTCCAAAATCGAAATAACAATAATTAAATGGCATATTTATAAAAATATTGTAAATATCTGAATCAGAGGAAGAGCAGAAACGCGTGAAATGAAACTGCAACGTCCGAACCCCGGGAGGGCATATGAACAATTTCAAAGAATACCACCACACGACTTTATTGCTCAATTTTCTGACTTGTCTGTTGCTATTAAAATCTTTTTGGCATGTTTTTGTAATTTAAAAGGAAAGAGAAACCAAATTTAGCATTTAAGTATATTTGGAAGATTACTCTATGAAGTTCTTGCTTGTATACAGAACACTCACTAAAAAACATGTAATATGAAACTTTTCTCTCACCCCCTTAGCCAATCAGTTTTCTATGTCACCAGCTCCGACCAGGTTTTTCCTCCACAGTAGGGGGATGGTTCACGATAATCAAACCATGGTTGACGTTAATCATAACCATGGTTTACCATACTCATTACCATGGTTCCCGATAATCATAAGAATGGGTCACGATCACTGAGCTTTACTAAATTACTAGAGGTGGTGCTCCTATATATTGTTGACGCCATATGGATCCTCCGGCTCATGGCAATTACCAATGACCAACCGCGATCCTAAGCATCCAACAAAGACCTTCGCCCCCCTGTTTTTGCACAAATATTTTATGTTTTCGAGACAAAATCATGCCGTTTTCCTCCGCTTGTGGATGCAAAAATTCGCTGTAAAGACTTTAAAGGGAAGAATATTTCTTCTGAAAGGTAAGATTTGTGAAAATTTTAATTTTTTACCTTTTATTCGACTAATTCTAGAATAGCTGGCAAAGTCAGGGGCCGATATGCGCATAAAATCGAGGAATAAATATATATTTGTGAAACACTTATATTTTAAATTTACACCAATGTTTCTGGAGCAGAGATAAAAAACGTTGTACATGGTTATTTATACATTGTGTACATACATTTTATTCCTAGTTTCAGGCACCGGTTTTTGTTTTTAGCGCCAGTTTATTAGCTTAAACAGCAGGGCCTCTTTTAAGGATATGTAACTGGGTGGGACATCTTTCCCAAGGGACCAAAAATAACGTAAAAAAGGGACCTGAAAAAAATCTACTAAAGTCTATAAAATTGCGGCTACTAGCTTAAATATGGGTTTCGCTCTAGGGCAGCAGATGATGGTCAAATTTAGAAAATAATGTCAAGTTGTCAACACACCTTTTTCTCACTTATATATAATTGCCAGGCAGCTAGTGAAACTCATCTATACAGTATACCACTATATACATGTAATCTATCAATCAGCAGTCCGATGTAAAAAACTTCTTTACGAAGTCACGTTCCGCATATGAACTCAGATTAGGAAGATTCATGTACACTCTACCATTAGCTGAAAAGCGCTTTGCTTCCTCTTCGAATTCACCACAGATGCAACACTTGACAAAAACCCTAGCTTTCTGGCGATTCTGCGTTGAAACTCTACTTCGTTCATAATATTGAGATAGTACACCATCTCCAAATTTTCCTAGAAGTGCTTTTAGGTTTAATGGGTAGCCTCTGTAATACTCAGTAGTGGTTTCAGTAGTCACTTGCGTTGACGATGTGTTTGCTGTGCTTATTGGCAAACCAACGTCACTTGTTGTAACCAAAGTAATGCTGTTTATATTTGCAGAGCTTGTTGACGATAAGGTCGAAGGTGTAGTATTGCTTGGAATATTATTCGAAGGAGCCCGTGTATGAACAAATTGAACATTACCTTCCCTATCTGAATTTCGAATATCAAAATCCACTTCATTCAGTTCATTGTCTTTACGAGGTTCTCCTTGGTCAGTGCCTCCAGTAGCTGCAGTGCCTTGTACTTCGCTTTCCACTTCAATTGGCGCCATATTTAATAATTGTTCTGA